TTATAAATACTTTCGGATTGTTTTCCCTTCCATAATACAAATTCTTTAGTTAAATCCTTAAATCAAATTTCAGGTATAGTAAGCATTAATTACATTAATCTACATTCCATTACCAGCAATATTCTTATATTTTAAGAAGGATATGTTTCTGAGACATGTTACTGTATTTTGAACAAGCGATGAACTAAAGTTCAAAAGCTTGACAGGTCTAGATGATATGAAAATTTCTTTAATAATATCCCAATTTATTGAACGATGATCGCTAAGCAAATCTTCGACTTGATCGACACTCAGTTATTTAAAGTAAATGATCTAACAAAGCGAGTTTCGTCTTCGATGTATTCTATCCCTTCATTAAACATCTTACACTACTCAAAATCTCTTACGCTGAATAAAATATTGCCTTCAAAAGCATTTTACAAAGTTTCAAAAACTTACCTAGCGGATTTCCATTGCGAGGACAAAATTTCACGCAGATTCTTTGCGATAAGAATCGCTATTTTGGGAAATCTCCAAAGGAAAAATTCTTTATTCATTAAAAATTAATATATCTGCAAACGATAAAAGAAAATGAAATGCGAATTGTTGCCACATGTCGATGGAACTCGTCAACTTCTGAAAAATCTTCGCAAACGAATTTTGGACGCTCGCATTTTAAATTATTCATTCTCAATATTTTGATTCCAATGTACGGAAATGAATTTTAAATAACAAAAGTAAAATGTAAATCCACTGCACTACAGAAATCTATAGAAAGCATAAAACGTAATCTGCTGTGATTGCTATGAGCAATTAAGCTGAGAATGGCTGCATATGAATTGAAGAATTTTTCATTCAAAGCAATTGAGGAAGTTTCCAAAATTACGTAATTTCCTACTTTTTCCAAGAAAAAGAAATGAAATCTTACAAGAAATCCACTTTTTACTCTATCTTGTGTTCCTAATTGGAAAACTAAATTTGAAAAAGTTGTAGTACTTATTGCTGAGTACTTCTTTCGTTGAAAATTTGTTCACATTTGTTCACTAGAAAGCCATTCTGATTTCATCTCAAGTAAAAATTTTTAATTGAATTTTATTATTTATTTATTTCTCAAAAAATAGAGACATGATTTTCAGAAATATTCAGAAAGGGAAAAAAAAAAAAAAAAAAAAAAAGATTTCTGGATTAGGTTTTTGTCATTTTGCTCCATCTACCGACTGTATAATATCGTTCATTTATTAACACAACATCTATAACACCTTATATCTATAAAACAACATCTTACATCTCCTCTCATAAAACAAAGTGTTCAAAGTTCTATCAATTTCACTCGTGCAGTCAACAGCTAAAAATTAGACAGCTCGCGAAGAAAATTGTTAAACTATGGATTTAGTATCCCACATTCGGGTTCCTGCTATGCGTCGACCTCGACGACATTATTCTACTCTTGACATCATAAAAAGAACCATCATCGTAAATAAGCCGAAACCTGAAAAGAAGTACGAAGGGAGAGGGGAAGATTGTGTGCTAAGGACAATATTGAAAGGAAACATCTTAATTGTCCTTCATCTTTGCACAATAACATCGTCGACAGTCCCTTCTATATTTCATCTAAAACGAAAAATATCTTCAATCTTTAACAGTTTTGGAAATGTTCATTTCATCTTAAAAATAGCATTTACTGAAATAAAAGTCATTATTAGGTGGAAACTCACAGTTCGGTTATCAGTTGTATCACTTCAGGTTAAGAACGTCATAATCAGTATTATTTTATTCATCTTCTTCTGCTTGAGTCCATTGTTTTATGTATTCAGCGCATGTACTTGTTTTAGTGGGTCCTTCATGATCTCCTTCTTTTACAACATCATAGGAGTCATTATTCTTTATTTTGACAATCTTATACGAGCCTAAATACTTTGATTTTAACTTATTGGTCCAAATTGCGTCCTTTTGATTGCTACTAAATCATTAATTTCATAACATTTTGAAGAACGTCTTCGAAAGTTATATGTTTTCTTATTTTCTTCTTGTACCTTAAACATTTGTATTTTCGCATCTTTTCGAAGCTCTTCTCCGTAAGTTTCAAAACTATTTTGAATTTCTGCGTCAATTATTTCTTTTCCAGAAGTATAATCAGTATTTGCTTGAAAATTAAAAGCATTTTGTTTGCTTACTTCAGATATAAAATTAACAGCTGATATTGCTTTAGAAAGTCTTCTTTTGGGGACAGAAGATTCTTCAAGAAACGCCTCTTCTGTGACGTTGTCTTATGTTTAGTTGCTTTGTAAATTGATGTTGAAGTCGCACTAGATGGCGTTGGAACAGCATCAGCACCACACAGGTCTCCCTAATGTTCCCAATCATCAGCATTAAGAATTTCTCGCAACTGACGACAACCTTTCTGATATAATTCTGATATCTTCATGAGTGATACACATTTTTCTTTCTAATTCTGCTTGTTTAGCAAATAATCTCTTCTCCATAATTTCCCTCATGCAATCTTTTTCTAAAGCTAGCATTTCTTGCATGTTCAGTTTAACATTTTGAACTTTATTTTCTTTCTCAGACAGGATTTTATCTTTGGTGATTGCTACTAAATCATTAATTTCATAACATTTTGAAGAACGTCTTCGAAAGTTATATGTTTTCTTATTTTCTTCTTGTACCTTAAACATTTGTATTTTCGCAGCTTCTATTTCATTCTTGGCATCTAATAGTTGTTTCTGTAAAATTTCTACAGTCTGATACGGAAAGTTTTCTTTCCAAAGACATAACTTGTTCTTCATGAACATCCAAATCCAATTGTAAAATAGATTTTACTTGTTTTAGTTGAACACTTTCTTTATCTCTTATATCTTCTGGGTATCAGAGATATAGGTTTGTTATCTTTTAAAATAATATGCATTTCAGAATTAGTATCTTAGGCTTGTCTTCCTTTAAGTTTTTCAGACATACCAGGATCCAGGATGGAAGTTTGATATTTCTGTTTCACCTGCGCACACTGAGCCGGTTCTTGGTGGTTGTATTGGTTGGTTACGCGGTCAGAGCGGACAGTGGCTACAGCAGGACACGTGAGAGTAGCTAGGTGGACAGAGCGGACATTCTCGCACTTATTGTGTTGTTTTCCTAATCAGTCATATGTCATCTATTGTGTAGTTTCAAGCTTTGCACCTGCTGTAGAGAAAAGCCGATACTTATAATAGAAAATGTCTTTCTCATTTTCTCAGTCGATGTTTGATCCTTATGAAGCATGTATGTCTTTTTTAGCGTCGAAAAAAAAATCTGCGATGGAACCCATAGCCATTTTAAAAAAATTACTCTCTACAAAAAAAGAATGTTTAGTTGTAGATGATTACCCACACCGAAAAAATAAATTAGGAATGAGTTGGGTATGTGTAAAAGAAAAGACACATCGTTGTAAAGGAAATGTAAAGAGAAATTTTCAATACAAAGTACTGAAGAAAGTACATATACGAAGTACATTTCTGCGTGCCCAACATTACTGAGAACGAAGTTAAAAGGAAGTTAGAGACTTGCAGAAGAAAAGTCCCCCCCCCCAAAAAAAAATCAGTTCCCGTTCCCCATATATTTCCAAAACTACTTTCAGAATTATATCAAAAAGGTTATGATTTTATTACTAAAATACCGGCATACTCCAGTGCCAAGACTGTTTTATGTAAGGAGAGGAGAAAGGCTTTGGGAGCTATCCTAATTAAAAGGCTAAATATTGACAAATTAAATACATAAACTGATTCAAAAATTTAAGTTTCTCGTTTGAATATTTTGATCAATTTTGTGTTAGTTAATATTTTTTGTATTTTCCATATATTTGTATTTTCCATAGCTGTCACTGATATTACTTACTGAACCAACTCACAGAACATTTAGAATTCGTCTGCAATTTTCATCAAAACAGATAAATTCAAAGTGTGCAATTTTGCTGTTTAAGTTTTAGTTTAAAATACTAAAATTCAAACAAAAAATGCCTACAATGTTTAAATTGTAACATGCATTATTTTGTGCTTTTGTATTTTAATATGTTTGTTTATATTTTTAATATGTGTTTTTGTTTAATTTAAAAGGGTCAAAATTCAAGCAAGTAAATTTACACAATTTAAAAATTACAGTAAGCATACTTGTCTTATTTTATCTTAAAATTCTAAAAGTTAAATGCTTACAGTTACATTTAAATATTTCTAGTAGCTTTATTTGCCATTTTTTCCCCTTAAATCTTTATTTCATGTTTTATATTTATTTTATTTTTGTTTGAAAAGTTTTAGTTTAAAATACTAAAATTCAAACAAAACAATCCCTGCAATGTTTAAATTGTAACATGTTTTATTTTGTGCTTTTGTATTTTAATATTTTTGTTTATATTTTTAATATGTGTTTTTGTTTAATTTAAAAGGGTCAAAATTCAAGCAAGTAAATTTACACAATTTAAAAATTACAGTAAGCGTATTTGTCTTAAATATTTTATCTTAAAATTCTAAAAGTTAAATGTTTAAAGTTACTTTTAAATATTTCTAGTAGCTTTATTTGCCATTTTTTCCCCTTAAATCTTTATTTCATGTTTTATATTTATTTTATTTTTGTTTAAAAAAAATCTGAATTTCAGCTTTAAAAAAACTATTTAAAAATTACTAGTTTATTTAATTTAGTTTTTTTGTTTTAAAATGCTAATATGAGCCGGAAAGTTTTATATGCATCAGAAAAAGAAATATGTATTTATATAAATTTTGCAGATTAGAAACCTTGGAAGTTCTATCATTAGATGAAAAAGAATAATTCATTTATTACATAACAGTAAATGGTTTAGAAACATGTAATTTAAATCAGAATTTTCCGAATTCATTTAGTAGGAAAAAAGTCCATATCAATCATGAAATTGGTAAATTATCAATTGTAAAACAAGTTAAAAAAATTAAGGAAATGTCGTTTTCCAAATAATTCTTATTAAAATTCTGGATTGACAGTCTCGTTAATTCACAATAAGGGGGAGGACGAAGACCACAACAAAGTTTTGTTCACATCTAATACAGCAAATGCTTTATTGTGTGCTGCTGCAAAAATAATCATTAACGGTTTTTGTAATAAAATAGTAACCATAATAATACAACATACTACGGAATCATAGCACCCATATAGTGCCACCTATTCCAACTGGGCACAAAAATAAGAAAAACTAAAGCAAGTCACAATTTTTTTTTCTGCTGTAGCATTTTGTGAACCAAAGTGGTCCTTTCATTTATATCCAACAATTTAAATATTTCCATACATTGGTAAGATTTACATTTTCATACATTGGTCAAACATTAACATTCAAGCATATATTACTACAAACTGACAAAACAGCAGTGTGTGTTATGAAGCATTTCAACAAAGGTGTGTTTCTTCGTCACACACGTATATACATACATAAAAATATCTTTCTACATTAGTAATAATAATATTATTGCAAATAATATGATTCAGCATCATAAGCATAACAGTATTTTTTTAGGGGAACAGCTTTAGTACAATACATAAGTAAGAAATTACATTAAACAAAATGGTCTCGCAAAACAGATTTAATTCATTAATTTGAATCAGTTTTGCCAGCAAAGATTTTAAAAGTAGAACTGAATAAGATATATTCTCATGTACTTTTAACTCAATGAATGTCTGAATTAATATAATTTATAAGTATAATATGGGCATACTATATATGTAATATATACAATCCCTTTGTTTTCAAATAATTTTCAATCTACAACTAAGTAGTTTTTGAAGCAGCTGTGTGATGCCATTTGTAATAAGCAAACTATGACTCTAATGATTGTATTCCACAAAACATAGAATTTGTTATTAATAAAATAAATATACTTTAAATAGTTTTTGACACACTTCAATCTGTGTATCGCTTCATTATGAATAAATAAATTTCTTAAACAATTTTTGTGTTAGATTAATATACAATAACAAAGTTTTGTAAAGTAGGGAAGAAACATAGTAGAGGTTTTGTGGATTATTTCTCTAAAATCCCAAGTATTCAGGAATGGTACTTTCACCTTTTATAGATAGAACTAAGAACAGCTGTACATTGACAGCAAATTTCGTGTTCAGTACTGTAATTAAAAAATGAGTTTAGATGTTGCAATAAATTTTACTCTTCACCATTTAACATGTTTTGATAAATTCTATCTAAAAGCTCTCAAAAAATTGTCCATGGTGTCACTTCACTGGCTTTCTTTGAATTATAAGCAAATTTCAGAATTATTCATACCCTACCCCAAAACATACATTTTTTTACACTTCAGTTCGTGAATTTGTAATACATTTTCTGGTATTGGTCTGAAGGTTCACGTTCCTGCACAATGAAAGAACACAACACTGCACAGAAATCGCCTCTTCTTCTAAAATGCACTTTTCAGAAAGTTTTTTTTTTTGGGGGGGGAAAGAAAAGCTTTCTTTTTTTCTCTTAACCACAGTAAGTGTTTGACAGCAGTTTTCGTTGCCTTTTTATGTTTTCCTTTATTCTTTCTATGATGTGTTGGTCTTCAGAAAAAGATGGTGACTGCAAAAATGCTGGAATGATGGATAAGAAGCCATTGCTAGGTGGACCAATGGGAGCACCTGATTTGGTAAGATCACGCCTCATCATCATTACACGATCAAATCATGTGTAGGGCGCCATTGACAGTTTACACACATCTGGGCGGACGATACGAGCTTGACGACCTTCCCATTCCAACAACAGTTCACCTAAATTCAAAGGAGATTCAAATAAATATTTAATCAAAATTTAAATAAATACTCATTCATTCATTTAAACAGAAAGAACAAAACGTTATTAACAGAAAATTGCTAACGGAACATTGTTAACGGAACAGTGTTACATAATGAAACACTGTTAATGGAACACTGTTACATAATGGAACATTGTTAATATTGTTATTTAAATTATTAACTTTGCTTATGACAGAAAATTAAGATATTAGCTGAGAAGCTAAATATAGAGATACTGCGAGAAAACTTGGAATATCATTAGGCTTACCAGAAGTCCTCTTTTGACTAGAAATGATCTCGTCTGGCGATGCGGTGCCTGCCTCTCAGCCAGTTATTCATATTTTTCCACTTATGTGTTTAAATTTTAAAAGTCCAGAATACACTCAAATGATATTAATACAAGCCTAAAAGAGCTTACAACATTCTACAATGCATTCATTATTACACTGAAGGCACAGAAAGAAGTTTTGATGGAGCAGAACCTCTTATATGGATATACAGCAGTGAATTAACATGGTCTGAAATTGAAGCTTCAGGTGTAAATTAAAAAATGTTGTCTAAATAAACAATTAAAACACAACTTCAAATCTTTAGAACAGCCATTTTATTTTATTTTTAACAATAACAATGGTAAAGCAAAAACTGGTAACCATGGTAACGCTTTACGACTGTGCAGATAGTCTCGCAGACGAATACAAAAATTTTAAACAAGGTGAAAGCATTAATGAAGTTCCCGCAAATAACGCAATAAGCATGGATCATCCTTTTGATAATTGATTAAGTTGATGATTGCAAAGGCTTTTTGGCTAACTAGTTTGAAAATTTGGAACGGGATTATTTGGGAAAATAAATACTGAGAAGATGGATGGATATTTTTCGGGCATTTCAAAGGAGTCTGATGTGTACACCACATGGCCTTCCTTGTAAATATTAAATTATGCACATTTTTCTTGCATTCCATTTATACTTAACCTAAAATTAAATTAAACCTACTTCGTCGATAGCGCATAAAGCCAAAATAGAATAAATGCATTCTTTAAAATTCACTGTATTTATTTACCATAGAGACACCCTGGAGCTAGTTTCACTTAACAGCGTTACATTTCATTCATTTTATAACTCGGAATGCACAAAAAATGATATCATCTCAAGAATTAAATTATATTATCCTGAAGAAATAAATTATATCATCTGAAGAATTACATATTTTGCCTAGGCTTTGTGTATAATGCATAAACATTCTATAGAATGACAAATGCTCTTTATTAAAAGATGTTCATTCCTCAAAAGTACAAATGTTATTTTGAAAAAGTAATGAAAGAGTCCCATTAAAAATCTGTCATTCAAAATACGTAAAAAAGTAGCGAGATGAATTTGATACAACATTATAAATTTGTATTTTTTATCTGGTCGAGACTGGGAATCAGTAAGACAACAATCTACCTGACAACGGAAATTAATTTCAGAAATAGTCATAAGTTTCACAACAATGCCCTTTATTAATAACTTTTTGTTTTTTCTGGCAGAGCTCACAAAGGTGGTTGTACAGTTCAGTATCATTTATGTGCAATGTTTTTGTATTTGGTTGAAAGTTCTTTCAACATTCTGTCGCCTTCGCCCATGTCCAGTACTCAAATGAGTTTTCATGAAGTACGGGAAATAACTCGGCATCCGCAACGTAGTACTGTACAGTATTGACGCTTCCTTTAAAATGATAAATCAATGTACTTTTCTTTTCCACAAATACACATCTTAGCGATTCAGGAACCATTAGTCCCATGGTTCCTTCTTAGTAGTCATTTGGGTTTTCATACATGATTTATTAACTTCTAGTAAGTAGTTTAGGTTCTTCAAAACGAATCAGAAAATGTATTTCATGCTTTGCCTGTTTCTCATTTGGTATTCCTAGGAAATGTATGAAATATGAATAATTTCATACATTCCCAGCTAGTTATAGGTATTATGTACAATGCCTTTTAATTTTTTTATTACTACGGAATTCATATTTCATGAATCATCTTCAAGAATTAGATATAAAAATATACAATTTTAAAAAATGTGTTTTAGTAATATAATGCACATGCGAAATTTCATGTGAACAGATGCCTATGAGGGCTGAAAGTTTACATAAAAGAATACTAAATCATTTGTTCAAAACCATTTTAAATAAAACTAATAGAAAACAAAACAAAAGGTGCTATGCCATTCAATTGACTTCTCTACATAAAAACAAGCACTAATCTGCTGCAAATAACAGGAATGATTAAGCATTCAGCAATATAATTGAGATAAACATAGTGAGCAGGGTGCATGCACAATGCTTACTCACCTAACGGAGGCTAGTCTCAACCCTGAATGCAGCACAAGAAAGATATTAAGAATGCAGGCATAATAGAATGAATGCAAATAACACTGCTTAAGGAATGATCGAAGAATATGCAAAGAAGCACACTGCACAAAATAAATAAAAAAGTAAAATGGGACAATGCTATATCTGCCGTTCTACTAGGGAAACCCGTAGAAAAGATGAGTGTTCTTAAACGTATACTCTAATATTTTAAGTCTCGTAAACTAGCGTTAGTCCTGCATATACTCTTAATATTTTCTAGTCTCATCTTCAAGTGTTCGCTACCAGTAACCAGTTCAATATGCCAAGCAGATATAAAATGGTGCTCCGTATATGGCTTCGGAGATTTAGCCACGTAAATTTTGATTATGTTAAGAATACTAGTAAGAATCAAAGCGTGAAAGGGTTACCAGAATTTGAAAAACCAATGGAGAGGTGTGAACCGTGTATTATTGCTAAATCTAGTAGAATAACTTTTAAAACTGTTCCGAAGAGATCAAATAAACTATTGCAGTCGGTTTATTTAGACGTTTGTGGTCCACTCCCAGTTCCATCTAACGGTGGGAGTAAATATTTCCTCACTATTGTGGATGACTGTAGTAGATTAGTAACAGTGTATTGTATGAAAAAAAAAATTAATCATTCTACAACTTTAAGAATTATCATAGGCAAATGGAAAGACTGACGAATAGGAAATTAATAAGTATACGCACCAATAATGGTGAGGAATTCTGCAACAGGCAATTCGAAGGGTACTTAGTCCGAAAATGGAATTAGTGTTGAACGCACAAACGCGTACAGCCCAGAAGAGAACAGTGTGTGTGAACATTTTAACCGAACGGCATTAGACCGCAGTTAAAGCTATGCTTAATGATGGTAAAATGGGAAAAGAATGGTGGGCAGAAGCTCTTGGCTGTTTCGTACATACATGGAACAGAGTATGTCATAAAAGCAACCGAACCCCTTATGAAATGTTTCTAAATAGAAAACCCAATGTTGTTTATTTTAAAATATTTGGTAGTTGGCATGCCAAAACAGATTAGAAATAAATTACAAATGAGGTGCAAAGAAGAAATCATGGTAGGATATGCGAAGGAAACTAGGGGTTATAGGATATGGCTACCAGAAGAACGCAGATTAATAGAAACCTGTAATGTGAAGTTCGTTGAAAAACTGAATTTGATGAAACTTTGATTTCTGTTCCAGGATGCAAATGGCATCCTGGAACAGAAATCAAAAACTAAGTTTAAAAGACTAGAGGAACCTGAGCTATTAGCAAAATCAGATGAAGAACAGGAAACTTCTAGAGAAGAAATAAAGTTCTCAGATGACAAATTTACCCCGAAAGAAGAATCAGACTTAAACTGGCAAAGAAAAGCAGTTAAAAGGCCAGGCGGAAGATGTACAGACATATATTATTATGTAGAGGGAACAGACACCCGTTTTAGATCCTATAATGATATTGAAATGTATTGTGAGGCAAGAAATATTAAATTTGAAAAAGATAAGTTTGATTTTAGTGGAAAAAACGAATACTCGGGGAAAGTTAATTTTGTAGAAAAGGAGACTAGCTCCGTGTCTGAAGAGGCAAATTCCGTAGAAATTGTTATATCACAAAATTTTAAAGAAGCACGAAAATCAGTAAATGCCGAAGAATGGGATAAGGCAATGAAAGAAGAAATTGACACAATGAAGAAAGAAGAAAGAAAGGTTTGGGAATTAGTCGAAAAGCCAGAAAATAAAACTATGCTAGGAAACAAATGGGTCTATATGCTAAAAAGAAATGAAAAGAATCAAGTGGTTAGATACAAAGCACGTTTAGTAGCACAGGGATTCAGGCAGAAAAGAGGTGAAGATTTTCATGACGTTTACAGTCCTGTAGTAAATTTTTCAATCATAAGAATATTTTTCACTATACTGGTATGTTTATATATGGATGGACTAATTGTCAGTTAGATGTAAAGAATGCATATTTATATGCAAACCTAAATGAAAAATATATATGACCCAACCAGAGGGATTTATTGAAGAGGAAAATAAAGTGTGTTTATTACACAAGGCCATTTACGGTCTACATCAAAGCGGCCATGAATGGTTTTGTGAATTTGAAAGTACTTTAGAAAATCTACATTTTAAGAAAATACAATGGTGTAATTGTGTTTATAAAAGTTCAGATGTAACTCTCTTGTTATATGTAGATGATATTGTGATTTTTAGTAAAGATCAATATGGTATAAAGTAATTTCACAGCTGAGTAAGTTTTTTGATCTTAAAGTATTAGGCAAAACTGAAACGTTACTTAGAATTGAATTCTTAGAGAATGAGAATGGGGTTTTTTTATATATCAGCAAAAATATATAGAAGAAACTTTTGAAAAATTTAAACATTTTCAGATACCAATAACTTCACTTCCCATAGATAAAGGCATTATTCTTACCAAATTAGATTGTCCATCTACAAGTGCAGAAATTGCGGAAATGCATACATTACCCTTTAGAAATCTGTTGGGATGTTTAGTTCTTGTAGCTAACAGGACAAGGCCTGATATTACATATGCAGTGAATATCTTATCACAGTTTCAGGAGAATCCTGGAATTAGGCATTGGGAAGCATTGTTGAAATTGCTTGG